TGAGCACCTTATGTCCCAACACAATTTGATAACAATCGAGATTTGGGAAGGGGAGATGGGGAGGCACATTAATCTGGGGCTGCTCAAGGGATGAACGCACAGGGGCAGCAGGATGCTGACTTACCAAGGAGGGCGGTGAAGCCCAGCAGCGTGAGCACCAGGTGCATGGGGTCGTTCTTCCGAGCACGCAAAACAATCTGGAAAATCAATCAGCAAACGTGAAGGAATGATCCTATCTCAGTGCTCGCTGATTTAACACAAATAAACCATTTCTGAATTGATGGCTTATGTCTCTCGGTTGGATACTCAAAGTGATATAGAAGTGCAGTCACGTCTCTCTTCTGGCACAAACCAAGCTGCAATGCTTCCAGCCCACATCTTCAGCAACATCTTAGTAACCAACCTCCAGCTCTAATATTTAGTTGATGAAAAATCAAATAAAGAATAAAATGAATGATGCTCAGTGCTCCTTGCTGCTGTGCTTCCACTCCAGATGCCCTCATCCTGTGCCCGTAGTCTCTATACAAGCACCTTCACCACACTGAGGTAGCTTTGCCTGAATCTAAGGCTTTATACTCAGAAAACAGGAACTTGCAAACTGCACTTTGTCTTAGTTATTGTGGATGGCTGCTTCAGGGTGAACCATACTCTGGTCGGCTGTTAAGGAAGCCAGGGGAGATGGGCTCACACAGAGATCTGAGCTATCTAAACTCAGGTGAGCTGAGTCCAAAACTACAAGACAAATTTTCGTGTCCTTATGCAAGCACAAATCTCAAATATCTCAGCAGAAATCTTCTGAGGAGGGTGGCATTGCTGAAAGGGATGAGAAGACCCCCCACCCTGAGGAGCATCTTACCTACTTGTCTTCAGCCCAGCTTCTGCCACGTCGCTGAGGTTTTGGGGAGCTTTATTTATAGGGTGAGCTACCTTCTGTTCAGTGGCAATCCAACACTGTGTCGAAATGTACTGGGCTGTGGTTTTCGGAGCAATTTTCCAACGTAAACAGAACCTGTTGCACTACTGACATTGGCATGGTGGTAAGTTTGCTTTTGGGAGTGGCATTTCCCACATTTCAAACAGGAAAAAAAATCCTTATTTTTCTCTATGTGCTTCTTGTATCTCGTACTCAGGTGAGGGCTAAGCTGAAGACTCAGCTTCAGGTGTTTGTTGGGACTTATCCCAGCATCCTGCATTGTGTCCATACTGCCCAAAGGAAGAGGGTTGGGGCTGTTTTCTGTGTGCTGGACCTCTGTAGGACAAGCTTCTTGCCTGCCCCTCCCACCATTCCTCAGCTGCTTCTCTGTTTTCCCCACCACTTCAAGTTCTCTCTAAAACCTACCTCTTCTCTTGCCTACCTCTGCCCTGAGCCACTGTGGGGGAGGTGCAACCCTCAGAGGAAGAAAAAGGGTGCCATAAATGATGGTGTCCAAAGGCGGGGTTTGGGCAGTGATGGGGACCTTCTCAGAACAATGCCAAAAATCATAAAATCATAGAATCACAGAGTGATTTGGGTTGGAAGGACCTCACAGCTTACCCAGCCCTACCCCCTGCCATGGGCAGGGCTGCCCCCCACCAGCTCAGCTGCCCAGGACCCCATTCAAACTGGCCTTGAGTGCCTCCAGGGATGGGGCACCACAGCTTCTCTGGGCAGCTGTGCCAGTGCCTCACTGCCCTTGGTGGAAAATGTATTCCTGACATCTAATCTAAATCTCTCCTCTTTTAGTTTAAAACCACTACCCCTCATTCTATCAGTACATGCCCTGATATAGTTTCCCAGCCTATTTTTCCCATAGCCTCCTTTAAGGAATGCTGTGGGGGAAAAGCATATCAGCTTCTGTCACTTCTGCTTTTTGTCTTTGGCTGCTGTCAGTGTCCAAAGGATGCTTAGGAAGTGCAGTGAGGACATTTGGGGCCAGCAGTGCACAGTATTCATTGTGGCTGGACTGATGAGTTCTGCCCATCCCATTCTTCACAGATTGCCCTTGCTGGTATACATGCCCTGGGTGTCATTCTGCCTCTGGCAGTGCTACTGTGGCTTGGAGCCACTGCACGGTCCTAGCAATGGTTAAAGGAGCAGCGAGCTGCTCTCCTGGGTTTGCTTTCATTGTTCATTTGTTTAACAGCTGAGATATGCTACCTGTGTGTGGAAAATTTGCCCAAGAACATTGTTATTTTAACATTATTTCTCGGAAATCTTACGGATCGGGAAGCTGATAATAAACCAAGGATTGGGGATTTCCACTCCCTTCGAGTTGGAAAGAGCAGGGGAAATAAGCTGGCTAATAACCAGTTGCTGTGGTCACGGGACTAGCTAAACCCTTCTCTGCCTTCTCCAAGGACCACTCTCAAGGCCCACGAGTACATCTTTCCCTCAGGTCTCACAGTAGGACTGCTGTGGTGGTCAGCAGTGCCATCCCAGCCACTCTGACCTGCTCTGCCTCTACAGTTTATTCCCTCTGGAGTACCGTGACCCAAAACAGCCTTCTTAAAATATCACATATTTAGCTACAAACACAAAGACCAGCTCTGCAGCAAAGAGGGCTGCACATACCAACCGCAAGAGATGCTCAGACCTGGGAACTGGTTCCTAGCTGGAAATCCCAGACCAGTTTTTCAACAGGTAATAAAGCAGAACAAACTCTTTCTCAGCACAACACTGCTGTGGTGGAATTCCCCTTTGTTTTGTGTCTGTCAGAGAAAGAGTCATGAGCTGTGGCTGAGACCCAGCCAAAACTGGCATTTAGAGTCATCTACCAGAGGACCCTGCTCATCTGCATTTAAATACACTTCCCAAAACTGACATCAGTTGTAACAAATGCTAGCATGGAAGATTTTATTTCCTCGTCTTGTTATTCCTATTTCTATTTGCTGACTGCAGAATCAAAGATAATCTGTCAAAGGGATTTTCCCTTTTTCTTTCCTTCCTCCTTCCCTTGGCATCAGCTTGTTGGGTTTTATGGGAACCCCAGCCCTCCTCATGAGATAGCTGCCTACCCGCTTCTCCAATGCTTATACACATACTTGAATTCCTTCAGTGTTTTGCAACTGTTTGAGTAAACTGTGTTTACTCAATTTCAGTTCCTTGGTTCCTAGCAGGTCTTGACCATTAGTGGAAGTGTTGATGTTCCTTCTCACTGTGGCAGTCACCTACCCAGATAGTTCTGGTCCCATTCACATCATGACCACAAACAATATAGAAAGCACTGTAGGACAGTCTGGAGTGGTTCCACGGGAGGCATCACGTTGGTTTGACCATAAGCTGCCAAGAACTGCTCCAAACAGTACTTTTTCTTCTTATCTTAAGGGCCTTCACATGAGACTACTTCAGAGATTGCTGATAAAAGCCTTATCAAGCTTGCAGTGTGGCACTACCACAGATTCTATCTTGGCCATCTACCCGGTGAGATAAGAGTTGTGGCTGGTTTGAGGCATTTTACCCCTACAGAACAACATTGCCAGAGCCCTCCTGGCTGTTTTTTTGATGCACTGTTGCCCCCCAGGTTCTTGAACAGTGGTTGTTCAATAGGTGTCTTTCCAGGCATTGCAACTAGGCTGTTTGGTCTCTGAATTCTAAACAGGGGGTATAAGAAAGAAGGAGACAAACTCTTTAGCGAGGTCTTTTCGGGTAGGACAAGGGGAAATAGTTTCAAACTAAATTAGGGGAGATTTACATTGGATATATGGAAGAAGTTTTTTATAATAAGGGTAGTGAAGCACCAGCACAGGTTGCCCAGAGATATGATGGGTGCCCATCCCTGGACACACTCAAGGTCAGGCTGGATGGGGCTCTGAGCAACCAGATCTAGCTGTAGATATCACTGTTCATCATTCAATTGGTCTAGATGGCCTTCATGGGTTGCTTCCAACCCAAATGATTCTATGATTCTATGATGTTCTTTCCCATCTTGTTCATCTTTTCTCTTTCCTGATCTGTCCTTCTGCTTTCCATGATAAATTCCATGCTATTAACTTGCTTTACAAGCTGCCTGCTTTTTCTAATCATCTGGAGTGTCCAAATTTGCTCCCACAGCTCCCTGTACCGGCCAGCTGAACAGTTTATTCCAAATACAACGTACATGAACACGCAAGGAAAGATCAGAGGTCAAAAACAGTGCCAGCTCACTGGCAGAAAACTTCTGCTCAAACCTGGTAGCAATATGCTGGTGTTGAATTCTCCTTAACTCCTTCCTGCCAACTTATCAGGCAGTTGTATTTCAATTCATTTCCCATGGAGATTTTCTGTAGTCGGTACAAAGTGCTGATACCATAAAATAACGTTTGTGATAAAACACAGAATTGCTGCAATCAAGACCTTTAAATGGACTTCTAAAAATTTCCTTGATGGGAGCAAGATGTGGAGCAGCAGCCTCACAGGTAACACATGCAGAAATGGGACACCCAATGCATTCAGAGGTCCACAGGAATAGCAGCACATCCTAGTGGCAGCAGATAAGGGCATTGTGAAGGGAACCAAAGAAATCTCCGCTTTTGCAAAGCTTCCAAACTCAAAAACTCTACAGATGTGGAAACGAGATTCCCTGCCCCCAGCCCATATAAAGCTTATAGTCTTCTACCAAAAGTGTTAACATACATTGTGCATAATGTAGGAGGATTGCATAAGATAGAAGTTTACAGCAAAGACTTCAACCTATGCATTTTACATAAGCTGTTTCAAGCAGAGATAATCAAACTGTGTGTGATGCCTTACGAGTCTGTATTATAACATGGTGTTTTACTAAAATTATCTGAGTTCAGCACAGAGTTCACTACAGACAAATTAGTATCTAGTTGAATACCTCTGGTAGCTCAACACTGAGCTGTTTCCTGGAGTCTTAAAGCAAAACAAAACAAAACACAGTAATGTTAGAGATGTCCTATAGCTCCCTCTGGCCTCCAGAAACTGTAAACATAAAACTGCCTGCAAGTATTTCACTTACACACAGTCCTTGCTGGGATGGTAAGCAGGTGAGTGACTGATGTCTCCCAGCCCAGCTCTTCCTACTGCTGCTCTGCTGCTCCGTTTTCCTCTTTCTGTTCTCAGAAAATCCCAAATTGGGTTAATTACCTAAGTCACAGGTTGCCACTGACGATGCCTTGTGAAACAGCAAAGATGAATACATTGCCAAACAAATAAAAAAATGGAATTCAACATTTATCTTTATTTTGATTGCCAGTAAACCTAAATTTGCACCCAGAACCATCCACATTAAAAAGTACTCTCAGTTTACAAACCCAGAGCTTACCCACTCCTAATTAGAAGTCAGGCAAACTGGCAGGACAGAGGGACAGAAGCTGGAATGCTTTTAAACTTGGCAGGTTCCAATGCTCCAATGCACAAATGCTCCAAAGGCAAAGCAGGGAAGATGTTGAGGTTGTTACCAGCACTGATGCTGTGACATAGCTCCTGGGACAGGTGTGTATGGAGTGATGGAAGACTCAGAGAGGAGCCTCTTCATTGGGAAGTGGCCAGCACTATCAAAGGGGAGAAAACTCAAGGGGTTATCCCTCCTGTTTGTAAGAGAGAACATGGGCAGCACAGCCCATGCTGAGTGAGAGCTGTTTGCATCCCCACCTGGAGATGCATGAACAGCCCCAGGTTCAGCTCCTGATACAAGGAGCGTCCTCACCCAACATTTTAGCATCACTTGGATGTCACTGTCTGACTTCTAAAGGCCTCCAGATTGTGCTCTGTTGTCCCTGTGAGGCACATCAGTCCTGCCAGGTCCCTGGGAGGCTCTGGGTACTACTGTCACTACTGGGCTAGTCTACATGTAGTGGAGGCTCGGTGGCAGGGGGTCACTGAGCTAGAACCCATTTCTCTTGAAGTATTGGGCCCTCCTGATCACGCTGTTGACATAGTTGTTATCTCTGCTGCAGGGGTCTTCATCGTACATCTGGAGGTTGCCGGCTCTTGCATGGTAGGTGCAGATTCCACCTGAAAAGAGTCAAGAGGAAGTTGTTGTGGGCTGATCAATCAGAAATATAGGTTTTAAAATAAAACTTCCCAGCCTGAAAGGCAACGCGTCTCATTGAACTTATACAGCACCATTGGAAATTGCTACTTGTGTCATTAATACTGAAAAGTGACTCATTTCGCAAAAGCCCTATTTCTGTAGTTAAGGAAACCATGGTTCCCCCAAATGAGGGTGGGAACAGCACAGTGACCCTATGAAGGCAGTCTAACGTGGCAGCGGGAGAGTAAGGATGGGAGAGCAAGAAATGGCATAGAGTGAAAAAATGGCATGCAAACATGGATTCTAAAGCTTCCTTGACTGAATGTTATAGCCTATCCCAACAACACTGTTGCTGGTCTGCTGTTTTGTGATTGCCTCTTTCAAATGAGGAAGATCTTTTATTTATGTATTTTTTTCAAGAGATGCTGAAACGCTGTACAGTCTGCCAGGCTGATGCTTTTATTCCTTCAGAGGTGATAGCAGCAAACGCGCTGCACTCTCATCATTTAGAGGCCTCTGCCTCACGCAAATGAAAATTCTTTGCCTGGTGTTAATTAAGTGTTGTTAGAAAGCTTCTTGTGTTCTTTAAATTGAAAAAAAAACCAACAACCACAAACCTACAACCACAAACTGCCTTGATGTACATATCCCAGTATGGATTGCAAACCAAATTGCTGACAGGGAAAACTAAGAGAGTTCTGTTTGTCAATTATTTCTGGTTTAAGGATTTCAACTGTTCACATCCCTGGTGAATGTTCACATACTGATGGTGCCAGTAACACAACTTCCCCTCTTTGTTTCTACACGTTCCTACACATCACCCCAGTGCACTCCCACATGCTGTACCTCGCAGCTGCTGGTCCCAGCTCCAGGCAGGGTGCCTTGCCCTCATTTCGTTGATTCCTGCCACCAGCATGCTCGAACATTGGTTTATGTGATCCTCACTGTCCCACGTCCCAAAGGGCTGATAATACCTCCTGTCAATCTGGAAAAGTCAAGAAGAAGACCAGTTTTTCTCGGAACACAGCCACCACTTATAGCTTCACCATGCTCTCAGCACCCGCAGGCTGCGATTCATAGGGACCTCATATCCCAGTGCTAAAGGCAGGATGTTTGCTAACTGAGGTGAAGCCCTGAGGCACCCAGCACACTGCCATACTGCCACACAGGATTATCTTCCCACGTCTCCTGGCTGTACCTGCATCAGGCCGTACCGCTGCTGGCCCTGGTCCCAGCCGTTGTTCAACAGAAGGCCGGCGCGGCTCTCCTGAGAGATGATGGCAGCAATGAGAGCCGGGTCCAAGCAAAGCCTTCTGGCCACTCTCTTAATGGGCACCTCGTATTTCCTCAAGCGGATGACGTCCGCTTCCACCGTTCTCCTCAGAGCAGCAGGGCCTGCAGCCAGGGCAGAGACAGCCTTACCCAACAGCTCCCTCAAAAGTGAAGCCTGGTGAGGATGCTGAGGATGCCAACAGGAGACACAGCATCTCTCTGTAGGCCAACAAGTCAAGCCGTGCCTGATACCTACCGCAGTCCTGGGCTCTTACGGCTGTGCAGGAAACTGTGGGTGCTTGAAGAGCACTGATATCACCATAGCAACTGTAGCTCATGGATGGAGCTGAAAAATTAAATGGAGGCGTTTGGAAACATTAGACCTCACAGCAGTATCATACAGCTTACTGCAGGTGAATACAGGCATGAGGTGTTCATCCAGACCCGTGATCCAAACCACTTTATTATCACTGTGCTTAGACTGTTGCCACTGCTGCCTATCAGTGATGTTATCAATCACAGCTAAAGAATAGGCATTTGTTACTTTCTGGTCAAACAGATTGAAATAAATTAAATATCATTTTACACAGACAGGTGTCATCCCTTTTAGGTGTAAAGGTTGCTGTGGGGGAAGGAACCACAGCCTCCGTATTTACTTATCAATGTCCCCTAGTGTCCAGGCCACCTCAGATGATGGCTGCTGGCACCTGAGCACTCTGGCTGAGAAGACCTCCTGCGTCCCTCTGCAGCTCAGTGGGAAATTAACTGAGGAGAGTGCATGCCTCAATCTGGGAAAACTGCCCTATTTATTTCCTCAAAACCCATGAAATTCATAGGTTCCATCTAACAAACAGCCTGTGATGTTTGTGAGATCATTCTGAGCAGACATAGAGGTCAGATAAGGCTGGATGGGTGTTTCTGTGACTCTGTGTGGCAGGGTGCTCACCACAGCACACCAAATGCAAGCCCAGGCTCACCAAACAGGGCCGAAAGGCCCAGCAAGAGCAGTGCAGTGACCATGGTGGTGGCTCTCCTCAGCTGCCCCAGGACACCTGAAAACACAGGATGAAGAAGTTGGAGCTGATATTCAGCAGCCTTGGAAGAAAGCATGCATGGCAAAAGGCCCCCTGCTCCTTCCCATCACCCATTGGCTTCAGAGTGTGGTGATGGGAGGAGATGGGAGCCCCACTTGCTTATTTCCTACCTATTCAGATGGTTTGGAGGGACATCTCCTCTATCACTTGTACCACCACGCCATCATTATCAGATTGAGAGGGAAGCACTAAGCTGGTGGCCATTGTCAGCAGGGATGTTTTGGCCTGTCATCTGCTGATACAGTAAAACCTCTGCATATATTCAGGTGTGTGATAATGGCAGATAATCACTTCAGTAATAAATGCCTCTTGTGTTTATCAATAAAATTCCAAAATATCATCAGATAATAGCTATTGACTGGAAAAAAAAAAGCATCGATTGCACTTGCCTTGCTGCAAAGCACATTAAAACCATGCAGTTTTACAAATTACAAATGCTTTTTTTTTTTCCCCGAGAGGGTTTTGAGTACAAAACAATGCCACAGCCCTTGCAGGCAATTCTCCTGCCATGCTATTAACACCTGAAAATGCCTTATTGATTTTAATAAGGCTTGACCTTTTCTCCAGCCTAATAGGTCTTTCTACTGTAAACTAGACCGCATGGATGTTTGAACACAAACAGTCCATCCACGTCATCTGAAAGACTCCAGTGCCCTGAGAGAGCTTATTTAGGTAGCCAAACCACTGCCTGAGCTCAGGTTGAGCCCTAACACTGAGTATTTCTCTGAGCAACCAGATCTAGCTGTAGGTGTCCCTGTTCATTATTAATCCTGGACTAGATCACCCCTCAGAGTTCCTTCCAGCTCAAACAGCTCTATGATTCTGTGATTCTATTTGCAAGAATAGAATATTGGATCAGCACAGCTTGACCCAATAACTCTTAATTCAATGGCAAGTCCATATGGGGCCCCAGCTAGCACTATGATTTGAAGCTGTTCCTACATGCAGAAAACTGCCATATAAAATTTCAAGTTATCAACCATTTTGTTTTCTGTCCCACCACAGAAATCGTCACAAGCCTTAAGTAGAAACAGCACAACAACTGCAATAATAACAAAGCAGTAAATCAAAGCAAAAATCAAGGCTTCTTCCCCTGAATATCTACTCTGAGTGGATTCAGACTCACCCGTCTTCAGTCGGCCTTGCTTTGAGGCAGGTCGCTCGATGAGTTTTATATATATGGGAATGAAGAGGTATCCACCCTCTGGGCTTTGGAATGTTAATTCCTACCTACTGTGATGACATTTGTTATAAAGTGTAACAAGCAGTATATAATAAGAGCTTTGAACCCTTATGTTTCCTTTCATCCAAAGATTTGCACAAGCAGTGGTTACTAAGACTCGGGACATTTCTGTGAAAGGAAATAAATATTGTTTTTCCTCCATCAGTGACTACACTGATGCTCCATAAATGACTTGCAGAAAGCATTTCAATGAATCAGTGGTGGGGACAGGCAAAAATCAGATCCCTCATAATGTTCTCCTTGCTTTATATCTCAGATTAGCCCAGGCACATTTCTGCAAGGGTTTTTGTCTTATTTCCTCAAGGACTTCAGATTAGTGACTGTCATGCCTTCATCGGAATTCCATAAAGGACAATTAAAGAAAACCATCTCTCTGCTTCATTGCTTACTGCAAGCCTAATTTGAGCAGGCAGCTAATAGACTTTGAGAGCAGAGGCAGGGTTTGACTTCTCTACTTGGGGAAGATGGATGCTGCAGCTGAGAAAGAAGGGTATTTGCACCATGTGTCTGAGGCACTTTTTGTGTGTAGAAGCTACTAAAACCGACTGAGTCATGTGGACACTGAAAAATCCGGGTCTGTGAGGCCAGTGTCTCTCTCCTTTCCCTCCTTTTTCTCTTCACCTGACTGCCTAGCAGGAGTGGAGGCTGACAAAGCAAGGTTTTCTCCAGGCAGCTTTTTTTTTTGTCATTTAATAAACAACAAATCCATTTATTCGTTTATTCATTTATTTATTTATTTATTTATTGGTTCCCTTTGTGCTTGAGACTTTCTGAGTATGAAATACTATTTCGGTCAGATATTACTTTTTAAGTTGAAAAACAAATGATGTTACGAGTCTTTACAGCTCAGGATATCAAGTGGGCCGTGTCCCCCTAAAACCCATGAATACAACTATCACAGACCTAGACCATGTGTCAGTGAGGAGAGGGACATCTAGCCCTGCTGTTACACAAAGTTGTGTTGGGTTGTGGTGAGTCCTAAGCCACTCATTTTTGGGGGGTGAAACATTGAAATAACAGGAACCTTTCCACAGACAACAAAACAGCAAGGCATGCATCCTTCCTCTGCAAACCCCATGTCTTATCATGGAGTCTTAGACTAGACTAAATTGTAAATCTTTTACTACAGCTCAAGTAAGATATTAAGTACTTAGTATCATTAAAGCGTTTGACATAACGTAAGGCACTAATCTATGTGCTATCTTTGGAAAAAACAGGTAGAAAATGGAGCCATCATACATACAGCATGGCTTTAAGGATCTCAGAAGCAAACTGTGACCAAAGAAATGCTGGGGGTAGGGAAAGCCCAAAGAAATGAGCTGGGAAATGGCCTGAGCGCACAGCTTGATGACAGCAAAACTGGTAGATATATTCATTTGTCTTTTGTAGAACAAGATGATCTATAGTACAAAGAGATGTATTCTTCCAAACGGATGGAAGTAATTGTATATTATTATGAAGTTGCCCTTTATAAAGACACTGTCATATTTGTGATCATAAACCACTGTTCCTCTCAAGTCACTTTGATGACTCAGAAATTTCTTTTTTTTTTGGAAAGTAGCCTCTGACTGTGAGAGAGATTTCTTTCTTAATAGGTTGGTCATTCTCTAATGGTCCTTAAGGTCATTTTCATTTCAAATACTGGTTCTCTTTGTTATGCATTTTCTCTCGTTTATTACCCACACAATCACAGACTTTCTGCCCATTGTATGGTACTGTCACATGAATTATTAATGCCTGCTTTGCATTGCATTGCATTGCTTTTTATTTACTCAATGAATTGCAGATGTTATTTTTTAAAGTACAGTTATTTCTATCTTCCCTGCTGCATGCTTAGATCCCTCTTCATCTTCACACGATTTCCTGCATAAGGCCAAATAAGAGGTCATTTTCTCAGCAGCATTATGAGTGATATTTTTCCTGCTAAACATTTCTCTATCCTCTCAAAATTTGCTGGCTTCTCTCTCTTAGAGTGGAATGCAGAAAGCAAACAGCCTTTATAGAAATGAGGTCATGCTAACATTGCTGAATGGAGCAGGGCTCTAAGCCAGCACGTTCATCCAGGGCACCACCATGCTGTAGGACCTGCAGGATGCTAGGTAGCCAGATTTTTTTGCCTGCTCTGTGTACTCTCAGAGCATCAAATTCAGGTGAACTGCTTAATGAAAGTGAGCTGCACCTGTCACAAGCACAGCACCATTTTGAATCTCAGCGCTAGATGTAATTTGGAAAATGATGTCAACAGCCTGAATTCAACCTCTGACTGACCAAAGGGATGGACACAGCTGTGTTACGATGCCACTACTGATATGCTGAAGAGAGGATGAGCTGGAAGGCATCTTCATGTATTGCCCAGAAAAGTGAACAGCCTGGAGATGCTCAAGGCCAGGTTAGATAGGGCCCTGGGCAGCCTGATCTCATGTCTGATTCAATGGTTGAAACTAGATGGTCCTCAAGGGCCCTCCAACCAAACTCTCCTGTGACCAAAACGTTCTTCAGAAATGGTTGGAATTAAATAAAGATCTCTGCAGGAACGCACTGAGCTCACGCCCCTGAACATTGTATTCATTCCTTCACAACATTACTGTACCTCCTTTTATATTTTTATTGTTCTTGCTATTTTATTTGGAAGCACAAGTTTTTAGATGTATATGATACTGTGAGACTTATTTAGAAAGGCAGCGATTTGCTTGCCCTTGTCACTGGTAAGGAAAGGATATGAAACCATGGCAATGCATTAATTATTAAATGAATATGTAAGAAAAAGAACACAAAGATTATCATTAAATATAACAACAACCCAAACACATAATTTGAAATGCATTTTGCTGATCTGTAGTTTTTAGATATAAAAAATGTCAGCATGCATTTGCTTTCTGCTGGATTTCAGTCAGCCCAGCACGTGATTAATAGGAGAGGATGGAAAGCCAAGGAAGGAGTTCACTTATCGTATGGTATCTCCATCTACCTAAGTTTAAGAAGCAGGTAAGCTTCCTGGCACTCACAGCCAGCCTCCAGCAATAAGCTGCATTTACACTGAGATACAGAGAATATAGAGTGGTCAAAAATGCTACCCTACAGCTTTACACTTACTTTAGAAAGGGATGCACCCGAGATCTAAAGCATACAACATACATAAGAGCACAAGACTCAATACCACTAGTTCTTCTCCACTCACAGATTTACACTTTTCTGTTTGCTTTCCTGTGCCACATATGTTCTACCAATTCTTTTTTTTTGCATTTTTTTCCCCCTCCCATTTAATGGAGGTGATTTTCAGAACGATGCTCCATTCTGAACACATTACCTCTTTCATGCCATTCTGCTTCAGCTGAGGGTTCTATCATCATGTTCCATGGGATGGTGAGAACACTCTCTAAAACTACCTGGAACAATACCCATACTAATTACTGTCTCTTTGGCACACTTCAGCCCTCGTTTCATAACATCACCAGTCAGATGCATTTCTCAGGCTATTCCTTTTGTCTGAGACGTAATTATAAGTAACACTGGGTATTTACAAGCTTTATGACAGCTTTATAGAGAAACTGCCCATGCTGATGCACAGGGGATGCCTAGCACTAATTGACCAGTTAAAGATACATCTATAACTTCCCCTCATGGGCTTGTTTAGTCCCAATCCTTTCATCTCAGGCAAACACTGTAGAGCTGTGTCTCTTAACTTCTGAAGGGGTATAGCCACCTTAAGAGTAGAATTTCTTTTCTATGTCCAGTGCATCTCTAAATAACAATAGCTAAAGTGTGCTGAGAGGGACTTCAAATCTGTTAGATGTGAGGCTCTCCATTTTCACCGTGCTCTGAACCAAACAGCTGTTGAGGGCCACAGTTTCCTCCCTTATATTGCCTTTATGAAAAACGCAGGTGAGCACTGAAACAACATCCCAATATGCACAAAGCTTCTCTCTAGCCATTGTGAAAAGAAATCAAGTATTTTTCTTCTGTTTTCTGAAATACTTTGAACATTATTGTAGGAAAGGTAGTTGAACAAGTAACTCACTGTGCTGAGACTTCATATCTCAGCTTAAACACAGACACATCACTTAAAACAGGTCATTTAGAGTTCAAGTCAGGAGAGGGTGTAAACTCATAAAGCCTGGGCACTGACGGGTTCCAGAACTGTGTTCCACTTACTTGACTGAGTTGTACTTCAGTTCTTGCACAAATCTAAAACAGCCCAGCCAGAGCAGCTTGGTCCTTACCTTCTAAAGACTGGGCTCTGGTCTTTGCCTCCCAGTGTCAAAATCTCTGGGCAAATGGGAGTCTGTAACCTGAACTCATGTGTTTACTCACAGAAGGTGGCTGTGATGCCTACTCTGTTTAAACCAGAGTAGGTTAGTTAGAGGATAACCTCACGAAGGCAAAAACCCACATTAAACTCCCTTTTGCATAAAGCACTTAAATGCCACACCAATAAGATGTCTGTGTTTTTTAGCCTGTCAAGCTTGCATTACTGTGTGGTGGAACACAACAGAGCTGCAGAGGAAGCCAAGAAGAAGACAGGGGAACAGCTTGATAGCCTGTCAGCAAGGTCTTTCAGTACCAAGGTGGCACAGTCATATCAGCTCCTTGTTCCTGAGACTGCACTGGTGTTTTATATTACATATGTGGAAAAAAATAAAACAAACACCATACACACACACACAAACCAACAAACCAGTGGAAAATGCTGGGAATATTGGACTGGGAATAGGAAAGAGAATGCAAACTTCTTCCAATTCCGTAATCTCCTAAGTCACTTCTGTCTTCTGCTCCTTCTTCCCAGTCCCACAGTCCTTATGCTGTCTTGCACAAAGCTTCAGAAGTGAGGGTAGAGAGAAGCGTTGTACCTGGGCAGAATGTTTCATAGTCGCCCACTTCACAGCACTCATCAGCATTCTGGATGCCTCTGATCCTATCCTGGGCCACCTCACACCAAAAAGAAAGCTGAGAAGCCTACTCTCAAAATACGAGTGCCAGGAAAAGGCTGACATTAGATACTGGAGCACCCAGTTCTTGGTGTTCCCAGGTCTTCCAGCAGAGCTAATCTTGTTTTAGTTTCCCACATACAAAAGGAGGATTGCACATTTGTGACTCACAGGGATGTCAGGCTAACATCTATGAATAATTAACTTTACCCATTAATCATGATAACTATTAAGAGATTTTCTGTGTGCCTGGAATTCATGGTACAAAGCACTGAGGACCATCAACATTTTGGAAACCAAACAGGAAACAGTTCCAGGCTTTTTTGTAGGGCAGCACACTAACAAAAGAAATAATTAGCAAGGAAGAACAGGAAAGGAATTAATTAGCTTTCATATGTTACAATCACCTGATTTTCATACAGTGTCATCCTGGGAAAAGCCGATGTTTAGCAATACATTGTTTGTAAAGTAGATAATTATCTGCAAGCATATTTAAAAGGAATTGTATGTTATAATCTACCACAGGGCAGATGATGTTTGTACAGGTTGTGTTTAGAAAAGCAAAGTATAGCAACACAAGTCCGGTGCTGAGTTATACAGTTACATAGCTCTTGAACCAGCAGGTCCAGGTTTATTTCAGGCAGCTCAACCCAGGGCTGTAACAGTGTAATAGCTAGTCCAGAAACTGTAGCCTCAGAGTGTGTTTCATGGGATCTCTAAAAGCAATTCTCAACACCCCCTTTTCATCTAAAAAACATCTAATATCTCCCAGT